GACAGAACTATGATCTAAATCGTACACCTATTATGAGATTACATATATAAAAATTCAATTTAGTTCGCAAAACCATGGATGAAGTGTTGGATGTCATCCAAGTTTCTTGACCATGAAGCAACACCGTGAACCAGGCTGGATTTAAATGTAAGCATATGGTCAAAAATAATTACATATTTGGGCTCTGAGCATTTAGTAAGAACTGAGCTGTTTTTACAAGAAAGCTGACCGAGTGGCTTAGGGACTATGGCACATATCCCCTGGACATAAATGCTCTTAGCAGCTTTGTGCTGTTTATTGCCATTGTTGCTAAACCAGAAATAAATCGGCAGTCCACCTGCAACTGTTATGAAACGGCTCTAATAGTCTGAGTTATTAATCATCCACAGGCTGCAACAGACACAGGGCATGGTTGCATGAGAGCGTGGCGACAAAGTGCAAATGTGTAAATCGGTACGGAAAACCTTTCATGCTCATGTAATGATCCAAGAGATCAACTGGGTTTACTGGCCCTGAGATCACATCCTGGGCTGAATGTGGGGAAACTAAGACAGGAATAAACGAAATAAAGCATAATACATGCATGTGCATTAGTTTGGATATTTGCATGCTTCTCTAGAAGATTTGGTAAAAAGAAAAAAAGAAATCCTGATCAACCTTTTCCTTACTTAACAGAAATATCGTCATTTTATATTAGGAAAAGTATCACCATGAGAATGTTGAAACTATGAAGTGTAAAATAACTATAATAAAATCAATAAATATTTGGCTAAAGTTTACAACTCGGAAATAGGTTTATCCACCAGAACTTCTGCTTCTGTCATGCTTTGATCTCCCGGGCCCTGCAATACTACTAATTTGCATAACTGTTAATCCCCATTTTAATACATGACACAAATAAATCCAAAGTTAATAAGCTGTTCAGGTCTCCCCGATTAATTAGTATGTGACCGGCTGGAAGTGGGGAAGTTCTAAACATGAGCGCAAACACATGTTTGAAGCAGAAACATTTCCACCGTGCCGAGCAGGCCGGTTAATGGACCAAGACTACAGCATGACACAGCATTATATCTGGCTCTGGTTTACGTAACAGGGCTCTGACGTGAGCGGACTCTGTCGTTTACACGTATAAACAAAGCACACACAATCTACTTTGATTCATTACTTTACTCATGAGGATGTGTGCACAAAAGCCATTCAGCATATTTCTCTTCCTTTCTCCGCTCTCCTAATGGATTTCCACTCTGCGGTGCACTGTCACCATGACTCAGCAATCTCCTACATCCACCAAAGGCAGTTTTTTTTTTTTTTTTTTTTTTAACAATGGTTTTTGTAACAGTTTTGTGCTTCCAGAATGAGTTTGCAAAAAATAAAAAAATAAATGTATCCTTCAGTATCTGTTGCTGGTAAAATGAAAGCCTTTTTGTAAACGACTTCCCTGAAACTTATAACTGGTTGTGCTGAACTGATCCTTCAAGAATAAGAGATACATTTTCTTGTTACTAAAGGAGTAAAGCAGCCATTGATCATCAGACTCCCTCCACTGTGTTTCAGTTTAGATACGCAGTTTTTCTGAAATACTTTGTTAGTTTCATGCCAGATCTAACAACGGATATTTCATTCAGATGACCAGAGGTTTTTTCTGCGTCTAAATTAAGTTTATCATGTAAAGCATATCAACATTTAAGCTTTAAATTCCTCCAGGTAGATCAGAGGAGGCGGCTTCTAATGATGGATAGCTTTGAACAATATCCGGAAGAATACTGACATTTACAACAGACCGGCCACAAATGTCAGGGGCACAATGAAATTACTTTGTATATATAGATTAGAAATTATCTTATTAATTATGACCGTTTTTTTTCTTTTTTCTTTTCTCTTTTTTTCAAAATGGCTTGACAGATTTTATAATTATCAAAATATATTCTAAATCCAAGTTTATATTAACTTAATTGTAATAATTAAACCCTAAACATCAAACCAGAGCTCTATTTGTGCATCAGAATGGCCTAGTCAAAGTGCAAACTTAAATCCAATTGAGAATTTGAAAAGTGATATGACATGTTCTTAATCCACTTTCGCAACTTTGAACATTTTTTTTGATAAAAAACCTTTAGCTGTGCAAAGTTTGAACAGACATATCTCAGAGGCTTCAAGTTGTTCTTCTAGGAAATTCGTCCTCAAACATTCATCTAAAAAAAGAAATCAAATTGAATTAAATTGAAAAATAAACTGAGATAAAAGTTTGGTTCTGAAAAGAATTTGTCATAAATAAATGTGAAATTTTGCCAAATTCAGGGACATCACATAACTTTTTACATGTGTAGATAAGAAAACATCTGAGGAGATATCATCATGGCCGATGCATGGGAGAAAATATGCAGGTCACCTTGCACACACACCGCTTGTTTTTATAGATGGGGCTCTGCTCTAGAAAAACTCCACGCTGGCATGTTCCTGTGGATTCAGCCATTAAGGTTGTCCTTTCTCACACGGTAACGCTCTGCTTCACGAAATCACCGTGATTCCTTGCCATCATTCAGACAGGCAGCGGGAACAAAGGAACCAGCTTGATATAACAGACGGGCTGCTGTGAGGACAGCTCCCTACCAGCCTGAGTTCTGGTCCTGTGGGCTTTCTTTGGAGTTAAAGGTGCTTTTCCCACCAATTTCTACCAGTGGGACCCGTTGAAAAACCAACAAAAAAGTGATAAAAAAAACAACATTTGGCTTGTTGTTAGAGTGTAAGGTGACTCCAGGCTCCATTCTGAGCCTTGGATCAGAATGTAAGCACATTTTTCTGCTATTGGACTGTAGGCCTCTGTATCCCAGACAATGAGAGCCTCTCTCAAGTTACAGTTTAAACGACATCCTGCCAAAGATTGCACGGCGGCCGCCAGGACGCCTTCTTCTCAGGGAAACGTGAAACCCTTACACCAGTCTTTCCCTCTCACTCATTCATTTTTGCGTTTCCCTTTCATTCAGACCCTTTTAATCACACATGTTAGAGGTTTATCACAGCTATCTTCAAATAAGAAAGTTCGCAGTTGGAAAGCGGACATCTTTGACCCCCACCCCTCGCCGATGTTAGGTTACTGCCATCGCTGTCTGACTTTTCATGATGTTTGATGTTTCAAGTGCAAAACAAACTCAATGCGCATTTCGATTTGACCCTCGGGAGGAGAGGAAATAAACACCCAAAGGAGGGAGGTCGCGTCAAAGTCCAGTGGCAGAACTCCTCCGCCTCTCTTCGCCTCATGCGCCTTAGTTTGGCTGCCACTCCAATAAAACGGACTAATCCGGGACGGGATTAGTCCATGTGGCTTCAATTTGAATGCAAAACACCTTGAAGGCATTTGGGATTACATAAACTGATTGTAACATTTGGATCAGAGATTCTTTTGGGAGCAATTTTATCTTGAAGATTTTGAAAACTGCATTAGAAGAGCATAATGGAGCATGGAAACATACAAAGAGAGAATTAAACTGAACAGCCAAGGATAACATAATTCAGAGAAGCAGATAGGAGGTCCCTGGTCACTCTGGAGGAGCTGCAAAAGGAGTCTTTCAAAGGGATATTTGTGCACAAATCTAGCCTAAAGCTGTTGAAAGAAAATCATGACGTCCTCTTTTCAGTTTGCCACAAGCTATCAGACGCAAACCAGCCTCACACATCTTCCTGTTTCTGCGTGTTACCAAATGAAATAAAAATAAACACTTTCTCCTCTCTCTGTTACATTTAAGAAAAAGTTTTCCATTCGCACAAAATAAAGGAGCGCACCTAACCGCACCGTAGCAGGGCGGCACACAGAGGGTGTTCTGCACACATGGGGCCAAAATGGTGGTCGATATATCTGGTGTAAAATAAACAATGCACACTTCACTGACACATGGAAGTGGCAGCTTTATTTTGTGGCAATTGTCTTCAGCAGGGACAGGGAAGCTGGTCAGAGTAAATCAGTGGCAAGATGGGTGGAAGTTGCATCGTACAGTTGTGTGATTTAGATCAGAGCATGTGTTAGAATGGCCCAGTCAAAGACCAGACCTGAATTCAACAGAGAATTTATGGAAAAACTCGAAGAGTGATAAGAGATGCTCTCAATCCAGTCTGACTCAGATTAGACTTTTTTCACTGTTGATCAGTGGAATGCAAAACATTAGAGGTTGTGCAGGGCAACTGCATTTACGTCAAGATTCTACGAGACGTAGGGGCAGGTTAGTCCAGGAAGCAGTTTTATCTTAATAATCGTCCCATTAATAATAATAATAATAATAATAATAATAATAATAATAATAATAATAATAATAATAATAATAATAATAATAATAATAATAATAATAATAAAGAAAATAACAAATTAAACACAGCCTTTTATATTTACTTAGATTATCTTTGGCGTTCAAATGTGCTTGAGGATCTGAAACATTTAAACCAGGAAAATGCTGTTGATTGTTTCCTTAATTTCTATGGTTCCACTGAGATATGTCGTGGAGGCATGCTGCTTCCTTCTGTTGCATCCTATTTAGAATTCAATAGAAGAAAATATGCACACATATGCATGCATTCTCATTAGTTATGGATCTGTAAGCACACTTGTTATATTTGCATAATGCAGAGCCACGTTTGTAGCATGATGCAACAGATGTTACAGGTTTCATCTGATCAAACATTAACTAAATATGTTTTTAAATATTTTAAGTTATTTGCTTTTAGTTTCTCCTGCCAAAAAAAAAATGTGAATCTGGTATGATATTGTTTATGAATCTACTTTATAAGAATATTTAAATGGTCATACATTAAATGAAAGGCTGCTTCTCAAAGTTTCCAGACGGCCGCTGTAGAAATGTACTTTCGCAGCAAGTTTTCAAACGTCAAAGTAAAAATTCTTAAGGTGAACAACGAGCACACTAATGGCACACAGGCCAAAAGGTTTCTCTCTTTTTGTTTTTTAACGACTGCTCGTCAACAAGCTCCTCCTCCCGGACAGACCACGCCCAGGCCGCTTACGTAAAAGGGGCGGAGTCGGAGGTTTATAACGCCGGTCCAACGTGCGGCTGCAACGTATGCGACGGAACACCCCGAAGAGGAGGAAGTGGGTCGTAAACCACGCTGACGCTCCCGCGTAATTTAGAGCCACGATAAAAACACGAAGTTCTTCTTAAAGTTTCCTTTTAAAAAGTCGAGTCATTTTTCAGCAACATGGCGGAGAAGGTTGACCTGGAGGAAGCGAAGGCGTCCAACGGCGAGGCGCACCGCGACGGGCCGCTCGCCAACGGCTTTACCGGGCAGCGGAAGGGCAGCCCGGAGCCGATGTCCGAGCGGGTGAAGAGGATCGTCAGGGCGAATCTGCTGGTGATCCTGACCGTGGCCGGGGTCATCGTGGGGGTCTTCATCGGGCTCGGCGTGCGCACCGCGTCGCCGACCCTCACCCAGAAGATCTACATCGGCTTCCCCGGCGAGATCCTCATCCGGCTGTTGAAGATGATCATCATCCCCCTGGTGGTGTGCAGCCTGGTGTCCGGGGCGGCGAGCATCGACCCCAAAGCTCTGGGAAAACTGGGTGGCTGGGCCATGCTGTTCTTCTTGGTGACCACCTTGATAGCCTCGAGCATCGGGGTGGCGATGGCGTTCATCATCCAGCCGGGAAACGTGGAAGTGAACACCACCGCGAGCGCCGAAGACATGGACGACGCGATCCCGGCGAACAAAGAAGTTATTGACTCCTTCTTAGACCTGATAAGGTGAGTTGGACAGTTGTTCGCGTTAACCCACGACATATATGTCACTACAGCCATTACGCACGAGACCAGAGCTCACCTGGCGGAGGGCTCGCGCTTCTTGTAACAACAACAAGCAGTTGCATCAGCTTCTGTTTCCTCGTGCGGGTTAAAACCCCTACAGCGCAAGACGCGCTTCTTTGCCGCTCTTTACGCGCGCGCACTAACTCCACTGTTTATAACGAAGTGAAAACTGGATAATTTTTGATGAAATAAATCGCCTAATCGTTGCCGTCAACTGTCTATCTTAAAAGCAACCAACAGAGTCGATGTTTGACTTATTTTTTAATAATGCCCCTTTTTGAATGACTTCCTGACCCTATAAATTGGGTCAAGACGTGAACGTGGTTTACATACAGTGAACTCTTAAGGTCACCAATGTGTAAGTCTGTTCTGCTGAGGTTCTTTTCAGCTCCCCCAGAGTACCTGAATGCACCATGAGGTTCTTGCCTACACTTCTTTATTAAACTTTGAAGAAGTGTAATAATCTCACTATTGCCCTCAAACACACCAGAGTATTAGTAATTTTTTTATTTATTTATTTTTTAACAAGTGGTGATGGCTTCGTCACATGATGTCATGGTTTTTCTTTTGTACTCACACCTCTTCCTGTTCCAGTCAAGTCAGAGGGTTTCCGTTCACAGAAAGCAGAGTACCGCACTGAACTAGACTGCAGCTGGCTGATGTCTGGTTGGATTATATTTAGACTCAAGTCGTACATGTACACACAGCGAAATCTGCTCTTGTTTGTCCTAACTCAAGAAACCTGCTGCCTGAACCTGTGTTTCCAACTTGGCAGCATTACTTTTTTTTTAATGCATGCGTCATACTCATGGGGCGTATGTTTCTTCGCCTTACTTTTGAGGATGTGCTTCCACTATAGAATAAGGGTTGAGTGGGATCTTGGTATGTTTTGACAAATTATCAGTTTACTTGTTCTGAAGGCAGGAAAAAACACTAAGTTGTATTTTTGTATTATTTACTTTGTGAATGGCATCTCACTAAAATGACTTTTAATCAGTTTCATAGAAATATATTTGTAGTTTTATAACTTTTTTTTTTTTTAATATCGTAATGCCAGAAACTGGCCTATGTTTCACAAGAGTCCTTGGAGTTTGCGTTTCCTAGAAAAGACAAAATATTTACCTAAACAAACACAAAAAAAAGCATCAGAAACAACTTGACATCCCCCATCAGGAAGTGTGCTCACATCCAGTAAAGCTGTTGCATAATGTTATTTTCAAGGCAGCTTTTAGTAATTATGGATGTATTTTCCACATCTCCTGCTTTTTCCTTTCCCTCTTCCTGCAGTGCCATCTAGTCACAAATATCCACTTACTGGAAAAAAACGGCTTCTATTTTTAAGAAAACTGCACGGTGCAGTCATACCAACGCTTGGATCATTTCTCACAAAGAGTTTCAAGCAACCTGTTTACTAAAAGATTAACAGTGTTGCCTCCGAATTTTTATCAAGGCATGTCGCAAAACCCGCTGCGCAACACAATCACCTAATTTTAAGGACGCAGAACTTCGTATGTAGGTTCATGGGGAGTAAAGTAAGCACACCCTCCTTCTTTTGTAGGGTGTGGAACACCAGGGCATAATTAGAAAATCTGTCAGTGTTTATTAGAATGCATTTTTCATGCAGAATGAGGACAAAACAGCAGGCCTGAGACGACAGAAGAGGTTATCAAGAACCGAGCAACAATTAAACATGACATCTTGAGTAGAGTGAGTTAAAGCATAAGAATTAAAAACACAGAGATATGGGCAGGTAATTGAGATGCATTTGTTCACTAAAAATAGACATGTCAGACCTCAAGAGGACAAAAAAAGAAAAAAAAAACTGTTTGTATCTGAGTTTTACTGAGGTGGCTGAGTTCAGCATTTGACTACAGTAATCATTTGTTTCCAGCCTGACAAGACGTTTATCTCATGTTGGCCACATGCAGTGTGCTTCCACACTATCCTAATCACACAGCTGGTCTCTCATTAGAAGGAGCCGCCCCCCACTCTCCGTCTGGCTCTGTGTTTGGGTGGCATCACAGCCCAGTGGGTCTGAGCTGTTGGAGAAACAGCAGCCTGGCTCACAGATCCAGGTTGGGTTTAATGTTCAATGTCGCCGTTTCAAACTGATCACGCCGCTGGCAGGTTCAGACGGACCCAGTTTTGCAGGCACTCCTATGAATCCGTGTTGACATTTCTTATCTCCTGCTTTGTCCTTTCACACATAAACCAAATGTTTACAGTAGACATTTGGTCACCCGTTGGATTTACATGCAATCAGTGATGTTTATATAGAGCAGCATAAAAATGTGATAGTAAATATGGCTGTTTACTATATACTTCACTTAGGTTGGCGAACTTGGCTGATTTAAAAAAAAATAAAATTATCTTCATATCAAAAATAAATACTAAAATCATTTTTGCGCATTAGGCATTCATGAATCACCGATATTAACAGCTTCAAAGCCAAACATTTCTTCTTCCTTGTCGACATGTCCTGAATCGGGGGAGGCAACAAAACTCCAAGCCGACGTCAGATTGAAACAAAAGGACACACCTTCGTAGCAGCATGTGTGTCCCAGCCAGCGTTGGCATGACAATGACACCTTTGTGTTTTATCTCACAATTTGCGCAGCAATGTCACACTGTGCCTCGTAGGCGACCTTACCCTCTCAGAATGTGACGCGCTCTGAATAAAGCGATCAGCCGAGGACGATTCACTGGGAAGCTGGTATTCATGATGGAGTTTCACATGAACATGTACGACAAAGACGGCACCAAAACAGGGAAGAGGGACTGGACTGCTTAGGTTACAGTAGTTTCATTGGTGTAAAGTACTGTATGTTCCAAGTTTCAGTGGACGGTGCCATGCAGGCATTTTGTATTGTACAGTCATGATGACCCCATCTAAATATATTGGATAACAATAGGAAAGTTTCTTTATTTCAGAAATGTAATTAAAAAAATAAATTACTCTCAAGGTGCTTTAATTCAGGTGTTTGTTGCTGTGGGTCTAAACTAGTAAAAGGCCTCAGAAAATATCAATATTATACGACCAATAAAAAAGGGTTTTAATCCAGAAATCTTTAGTTATGGCCAAAACGATCGACATTGCTAATCTTAAACTACTTCCACATAAATGCAGGTGAGACCCAAAAGTATACTTTGCTAAACACTGAGTGCTGTATCCAAGGGCCTCAAGGGAAAGTTGAGTGGAAGGAAAAAAATTGTCAGCAAAAGGTGAAATCCATTTTTCAGGATGTGACCATGCTGGTCATCTATACGAGCCGGTCGAAGGAAGACGCTCCAATATCTGACGGAGTGATAGGAGCGTCTGTAATAAATATGGAGCTATATTACTGCTTTCATCGCAAATGTATTTTTTTTCCTCCTCCATTTTAGAATATCAATTAACCGTAAGAATAGTACATTCAGTAGTCCAAAGCTTGCATTCTTGGAAGTCTTTTTCAGCCTTTGTTTTCAGTTGCGTGCCACCTCATCACATGACTTCTAAGCCTGATGTTTCCAATTATTGGCTGACAAGAAGGAGCTTGTGAAGTTAAAGTCTTACTGATCTAAATCCACTGCAGACGGCTGAGAGCAGGGGTATCGAGTACACAAGGCTTTACGAGTTCTTCAGGGGTGATATAATTTGCAGTTGGACTTATTGTACTAGTTGGTGCAGACTTATCTCCATGGCATTAAATAATAGGAGCACAAAGGAGGGAGAAAAGAGGTTTAATAGTTTAGTTCTCTGTGGGAGGTTCTCTGAGACATAGTGCTGCAAAACTACATAAACTGCTTCAATTAGGCTCAAGGATTTGGCTATAATACACTGATCCATCTTACAGATCTTGTAAGACATGGGCTTAAACATTTCTGCTCCACTGTTTTGTTAACTTTGGGGTTTTTTCCTCATGTATGTGGGAAGTGAAATAATTATGCGTTGTTTTCATTTCTTTTCACAGAAACATTTTCCCCTCCAACCTGGTGTCTGCTGCCTTTCAGTCGGTGAGCATTAGACCTTAAGGCTGTGATAACAACCTTACATAACAAACGCTGCTTTTGTACTTCTAAATAAATAATTTATTTTTTTTATTCTTCCCCACCAGTATGGAACCTCTTACAAGATAATGAACAAGACCGGAATCGCAGAGAAGGTGAGGGATTTATTTGGTTATCAACAAAACTCCACACAACATAATTTCAAGATGTTTTGCTTCCTCTCAACAGTTTCTTTTCTTTCCTAAACAAATCCACACTTTTTTTTTTCAGGTTCCCGTTGGAACGGATCAAGACGGGATGAACATTCTTGGACTGGTGGTGTTCGCCATCGTTTTCGGTGTGGCTCTGAGGAAGCTGGGCGAAGAAGGAGAAATCCTCATCAAGTTCTTCAACTCCTTCAACGAGGCCACCATGGTGCTGGTGTCCTGGATCATGTGGTAAGAAAACGCCCCTGTTAATGTTTGGTTGTTTTGCGGGTTTGTAAAAGTAAGTAAGGAGGACAGAAAAAAAACTGCAACAAATTTCAAATTTGAACAACCTACTAATAAATAGAACACTAGAAGATTTCATTACTCAATAATCACATTTTAAATGATTAATTTTAAATAATTAGGATGCTTATGTTTTTTTTTTTTTATCTCTGCTACTACTGGTGACACTTGAATTTTTTCTCTACTGAAAAGAAAAAATTCACTCAACCTAAAGCTTTTTTCTTTCTAAAATTTCCTAAAATCACGTAGTAGCATCATTTTGAAATAGTACTGAAATGAAAGATTTAATTTCTATTCTCTAGATATTTTTATTAAGGATGTTGACACGTCTAGAGGGTGCTACTAGTTTGAGTCCTTTCAGAAAATGTTTTTCCTCAAACAAAGCGTTGTAAGTCTGTTAAGTAACCTTTACCAGTGAGGTAGATTTCCTTTGTGCCGTGTTCCAGAAACCTGACCTGCAGTATTGTGCTGGTCTTTTCTCTCGTCTGGCTGCAGGTACGCCCCTATAGGTATCATGTTCCTCGTCGCCGGTAAGATTGTGGAGATGGACGACGTCGCCAAGCTGTTTGCCAGCCTGGGAAAATACATCGCCTGCTGCATGATTGGCCACGCCATTCACGGCGGGCTGGTGCTGCCCCTCATCTACTTCATTTTTACCAGGAAGAACCCCTACACCTTCCTGTGGGGCATCTTCACAGCCTTGGCCACGGCGTTTGGAACGAGCTCCAGGTATTTCACCTCAAACTCGCCTCTGTTTGCTCTGTTGGGGTTGCTGAATATCCACAAACTGAGGCTCTCCTGTTTCCTGTTTCCAGCTCTGCCACCCTGCCCCTCATGATGAAGTGCGTGGAGGAGAAAAACGGCGTCTCCAAGCACATAAGCCGCTTCATCCTGCCCATCGGCGCCACGGTCAACATGGACGGGGCCGCGCTCTTCCAGTGTGTGGCGGCGGTTTTCATCGCCCAGCTTAACGACACCAGTCTCAACTTTATCCAAGTCATAACCATCCTGTACGTCTGACGTCTGCGGTGACGCGACTCCATTTAAGCGGGTTGCTTTAAAACTAAATGTGATGATACATTTGCAGCTCCTTTTTTTGTGTGGACAGTTTGGTAATTGAATTTGGGGACTTTGTGTTTGTCAGTGTGACGGCGACGGCGTCCAGTGTTGGAGCTGCAGGTATCCCTGCAGGCGGGGTGCTGACCCTGGCTATCATCCTGGAGGCAATTGGACTGCCCACCAGTGACATCTCTCTCATCCTGGCTGTTGACTGGCTTGTGTGAGTAGAAAATATATTTCCATAAACTTCAGCGAACAGGATCAACGTTAGCCCCGCCCGCTAGCTAACGTCAGCTAACACTCTCCTGTGAACTTTTTAGAGATATTTCAGATCAAACTGAGAGATTCGGGGGCTAAAGTTGCTTAACTTGTTGCAATTTGTGTAAATAAATTGCAACAAGTTAATCATGCTGTTCAAGTTATTGCTGCACTTTTAATGGAAGACATTGTCCTCAGAGTCAGCGAAGTTGGGGGGGTAAAGTTGTCTTGACCTGCTGTTTTAAGCAGCCAATCAGACTTCAGGGTCTTAATAGAAGCTGCCCTGCTAGTCCCGCCCACTGAGTTTGATGTGAGTTTGATGGGTACAGTTGACATGTAAAGTTGAAATTTAAATTAATTCGTTTTTAAATGAAATTGAATTGAGGCACATTTAAATAATTATGCCATAACTTATTTATGTATTGTCATCTGGCACTCTTTGCTCTCCATGTAACTGGAAAAAGACAAATGGCTTTCCAACATCTTTTAGAAATACAAAAGTGTGATTTTAGACTTGCATTAATCTGATAACCCTGAAAAAAATAGATCCATTTCTACTACGGTACCTGCCTTCAAGACTCCTTACTAGTTAAATGGAGACCATATGTGTGATATTTTTTATCTCTGTTCAAACCACCATCTGAAAACAGAGTAAGGCACAACGTCAAACCTGTCAAAGACATCTACCTGAAATGACTGGGCAAATAGAGCATTTATAGACAAATGACAAAATGATGGCATTACCAAAGCAAATTTGGCTAACAAATTTTGAAAGAGGTCACATTTTAAAATCCAAAGCAATCCACATGGGGGAGGCAGCAAACATTTGGAAAATCAAAAAGTATTGACATTCTGGTCGGCATGTAATTCAAGGCTCGTATCGCTTCAATACGTAATCCGCATCATAAAGTTAACTCTCTCTCCTCATCCCGTTTTATCCCTCTTTAGTGACCGCACCTGCACGGTGCTGAATGTGGAGGGCGACGCCTTTGGCGCGGGGCTCCTGCAGCACTTTGTGGACAAAACCTCCAAACACGAAGGCGTGGAGGAGCTCAGCGAGGTCAGGATGGGCGGAGATGCGTCCGCCGCCATGCCCGAGCACTCGCCGCTCATCGATAAACGAGGCTCGGAGGGCGCAAAAAGAGACCTCTCCTCCGAGAAAGAGTCGTCCATGTAACGCAGATGGCGACTTCTACCGCAAACCCTCCTAGAAACACAAAACTTAAGCTCCCACTGTTAAGATGAGAGTCCAAGGAGAGACATGCACACTACAATGCAAAGCAACGCTCTCAGACCTCAAATGCTTTTCCGGACGGGGTGCAGCTAACGTCTTATGGGATACATAGAAACCATGATACACTCAGTGGGTTATTTAATTTTTTTAGGGGAATATGAGACTGATTTTTTTTTTTTTTTTTTACATCTCCCTTTTGTTTGTTTGATGTATTCGGTTGGTCTTCTCTGAAATCAGATTGAAAGGTTTCGTAAGCCACTTAAAAGAAAACAGACCATTTCCATCGAGGAGCGCATATTCATGCCGGACAAATGAATATGAATGTCTGTTTCTAAAGCGTTCTTCTACCGTCATTGTGCGTCATTGTTCTTCTGAAAAACTGTCTTTTTGTACATATATTTAAAAAACACACCACAAAATAGCGTCCATAGTTACATTTTTCAATTTAAACGTGTCAGGTTTTGTAATGCCGCATGTAAAACTAAAGCAATAAGAACAATATATTTTTTTTCCGAATGGGATCCAGATTAGAAAATTGAAAAAAATAAATAATAAATATAGCCACTTTCATGCAGGTTTCTTCCAGTGGAGAGTTTCATAGATTTGCATCGATGCAGCGGTGCTCAAGTGTTACAAGCTGTGCAGTGGATAACAGTCCTGTTCTTGTTTTTGTTTGACTTCGCATTGTTAAAATTAAGAGTCCTTAAGCCTTTTTGATTTAGAACTGTGACCAATCATTCGTGACCAATCGTTTTATCGGCTCTTTCAGGTGTTTCGATTGAAGTAGACACTTTGAAGAGATAAACGATCTACAACACGCTGCTGTAATCTGTAGTCGTTGCCCTAAACAAGATGATCTCTGAGCAAAATGCTACTTACTGTACATGTGGAGGAGGCAGTTTTGCTCCATGCTGCTCACGGTGAAGCACACACAGCTGCTCAGTAGTAGAGGCTTTGCTTTCTCATTTGCTTTGACTATCTGAAACTGTTTTGGCTAACTTTGCTGGAACACGCGGAAGCCTGACTGGCGGACAGATTGAAAGTAAAGTCCAGTCCGATTTTAATTCACGATATTAGAAAAGCACAATCAAAGGCACAATCTGTAATTATCTGCTCTATTATTGGAAGCATGCTTTTGTACTGTAACTGGTTCCTTTACATCTTTTATTTTAGTATCCCATCCTTTGCAGAGAGCACAATGATTCCTTCACCTTGGTGATGGAGATCCACCTCCCCATGCTGCAAGGACGTAGTTCATCTATCCGCCTTACACCTGCTTTGAAACGGCCAAGATGATATTTGGAAAAGATGTTTTACAGTTAGTTTAGTTTAGTTTTTGTCTTGTTGCTTGGAGGGTGTTTATAGAAGGCTTATTTTTTGGTCTTTTATAATTGTGGTTATTCATAACCAAATGTTCTCTTACTGTATGTTTTCCCCATGCTTTTTAAGGGGCGGGAGGACAAATATAGTTGTTATTGTATTCCAAAGGCTACTAGATGAAATATTAGCTGTGGTATTGTCCCAAAGGAAAATGAAGGAGCACAAACGTTCTGACTCGTCTCTCGAGACGGACTTTACCTTCTTAAAAAGACAACGGAGCCTCAGGTTTGACGTTCGCCTTGTTCTTCAGGTACTGTAAGACCAAAAAATCAAAGTCGGCTTAATGAAGGAGACGCCTGGACTTTTTTTTTATTATCAATTATTATCTCTACTAATTTTGGATTTCTCTCTTGTCGCCTCCCCTGACTGCCCCACACGCTGCTGCTTCTGTGCAGGCTGCAGCTTTTTACCAGAGTATAAATAGAGTGATGACTCCAGTTACTTGCATAATGTATGGTATGCATACTGTGTCCGCCTTGTCCGTTCTCAAGTTGCCTTCGACTGCCGACGCGTCTACATTTTTAGTATGGCAGCAGGACCGGACGGGCTGATTTTACCGTTAAGCTGAAGACATAATGAACTTTGCAAAAGGATGTCTTTTTGGGAGTTATTTATGTTTCGGATATTACAGCCACAAGAGGAAACACTTCTTCTTTGAATGTCCATTTGTAATAGTTTATATTTATTTTTAGTCCAAATCTAAAGGATTTTTTTTTTGCCAATGTGCCGTGACATAATAATAGATCTGATTTTGGTTTTTCTTTCTCCCAGATGGATGGTTGTAGATTTGTTAGATTTTGTCGCGCTTGTGTCTGAAGCGCATGACTGACGTGTACGCTGAAGAAGTCCTTCTAGTTTAAAACAATTTTTGGTATGATTGATATTTTATGATGTTTTAAGTGGGAATGATAGCAGCAGAATTAAATTTTTTTTTATTTTATTTTTTTTAAAGCAAAATTTTGCCTTCGACGTATGAATATATGTAGTAGACCTGAAATCTCATCATTTGTCCCGTATGTTGTGGAAATCTGATGAAATGTTCTGCATTTTTCCAGCACGGCTGTTCAGCTGTTCCTCCATTGAGATTTCAATGCCGTTTTCTTTTTCTCTTCTAAACATCATGCGGCGGTTTTGTTCAATCACATTATTTTTGTTGCAATGAAGTTCACTGTGACGAGGCTATACTTTGAAAAAACACAAACTAATTTGTACTGCCAGACTGTAGTCATTTGGTTAAAAACAGTAAACTGTTCTTTCTTAAATTGCTCGTGTCTCTGAACTGTTTTTTAAAAAAAGTTTCTTTGTTTTTCTTTTTTTTTTTAACTGTTTAAAATTACCACTTGCACATAAAATGAAGTTTACAAAGGCTGCAGTCACATTCTAGGTGAATTCCATGTAGGGTTGTTTCTGACAGGAATCCTAAAAATATAGTCACTTAAAAAAATAAATATACCTGACTGTTTTCATGGCGTGTCAAAAATATTCTCAAAAATCAGAGACAAAATGTCTTTTCGGAGGTCCTCGGTTAATTGAGACGATTTGTCTTTGGCAACGAACTGTTGGAAAATCTCAGCCCAGTTCTTTAGCTCCTTCAAACTCCAAAATGAAATTATTACTTTAATCCTAAATCTGCCAGGAGTATAAAAAATGTTGGGCTTCACTGAACATCCCCATCAGTTAAGTTGCACAGAAACAGAATTTTCTTTTGTGGCCACAAAAATTCATGATTTGAACGTCGTTTGGCAGAGTTCATTTCAAGCATTGGATTGTTTTGTTGCACAAAATGCTTAACAAGGTTTTAGGTGAAAGTCATGGCCGAAGCTTCACTGAATCCAAAACCATCAAGCGGTTGCGTTGAGGCGAAATTAATGAGCTGGAGGTAGTCCTCTACTGTAATTTCCTCCAATTTATGCAAAGCCCTTACCAATACAAGTTCATTTAATCCCTCAGCATAATTCTTCCACCGTCATGTATTACCTCATATCTGATAAATTCAGCAAACCTAACGAGGTGAGGCAATCTTAAGTCTGTAGTTGGGTTGCATTGTGTCCTGCATTCAGGTGTGTGATGTCACAAATATGGAAAGACAAAAACTTTTGTTTCAGTGCTCACATCATCCAGCGAGATGGATGATGTCGACCAGTCTGAGAATTTTTTTTAAAGACTTTATTGTCTTTTTGTTCTACCGTGAGAACAACTTCTCAAAGGCCTGAAACACTCGAGATAAGTCACGGTGTTCCCAGGAACTGTGTGCTCGAAGGTTCACCTCAAAGCCAGTCTGTTTGAGACCGGGGAAAACAGAAACATTAAGCATGTTAAAGGTTGAAGCTAATGACGGTGCTGCTACTGAAAGACCAAACAAAGTCACCAGATGAGAATCTTCCAAACGTTGGCCACACAGGTTTGGCTTGCAAAGGTGGATCTGAACTAGAGCTTCCCCAAAGTGCACTTCTTTACTCCCTAAACATTTGACCAAAATCAACATTTATATTTAAATGCCAGCAGCAAATGCTTTTTTAATTCTGCTTTTGTGCATTTTAGACACAAACAATGACATCAGGGGTGCAAAAAGAGAAGCAGGTTTGGCTGCATCATACGTTTACCTGTGACAGAATATTTTCTGCAACATACATGGACCACACTGATTTTCAGGGGGTTTTCGTGGCTTTGGCTAAACATGATGGCTACAACTGTAGTTTTGTGAATGTCTAAAAAAAACATTCGCTTAAACTCCTGTGTCTTTGGTTTCTCATTCAGAAACAGAAGAGAGCTTCTAATGAAGGCAGTAAAAGTTAAACCCGTCCCTCCCCACCCCGTCTTTTTTTGCTGTTTAATATTCAGCAAATATGATTTGTTTTGATGAATGTCTGATTCATTTCTATTTTTTCCAAAAATTCCATAACATTTGTGTCGAAGAGAAAAGATTGAAAATCAGTCTTTGGCATAAAATCAGCAGACAGACATAATAATAAAAAGATTTACTCCCTCCTAAAAAAAAAAAAAACAGTTGTTGCTTTTCAATCTGTTGAGTGCAACTTTATATAAAAATATAATGGATGATAAAGCATTCATTTCAATTGGGAATTAAAAAAAAATTTAAAGTCCTGTCAAAGTTAACTAAATACATGTAACACATGCTGTGCTGTTTATCTGAGCCTCGACCTGATTATGTTTGTAAGGACTGAATGACTCATCAGAATATAATGAAAAGCTTTAGCAATCTTACATATGTGACGAGGACGCCACACCCATCCGAGTGGCTGTCAAGAGCAGAATCCTTCCAACAATGTAAACACATTTCTAGGAAGAATTGGAGTGAAAAGTGGCGCTCTCTGCGTGGGATCAAAAGGTGTTACTGTCAGCAGACCGTAAGTTTTTCCCGTACAGTCACATTCCTGTTTGAGGAGTCAGGAACAGAAACGGCCTCCGACTACGGTACTTCTTTCAAAGGCGTTGTGCCATCTAGTGTTCATGAAGAAGCAGTGGAGGTTCTGTGTTAACAAAACATAAAAATGTAAGCAACAATCTATATATTTGCAGTTCATGAGTGAACCTGTATTACATGAAGGATTGGAGTTGGTTCTACAGAAATGTGTGAGTAAGAGATGGATCAACATGTACTGAAAGAAATGATGTATTTCACAGTTGAGTCCATTATATTTTATAGTAAGGCTGGAGGTATAATTTATTTATTATAGCATACAAATCTTGGAGTGATGGAAAACTCATTTTCACAAATAAAAGCTTGCTCATCGCATCAGACCTGAAAGTCAAGATGGCCAATAATTTTACCGGAAATATTTATTTTACTCAAGACAAAAAACAACTGAGAACATGAGTTTGCAATAAACAGATTAGTAAAAATAAAACAATAAAGGAATAAAACAAAATGATAAAAACACATTTATATGTCGTTAGAGATTATCTTGCAAAATTGTTGGCACCCATGATACAACTGAAATGAATAAATGCAATTGTGGCCGAAACAAGATGGTGCAAAGTGGGAGAAAATATAAATATTTAGATCAAAGTATATTCATACGTAATATTTAGATTCAAAGAAGCAAATTCTCTGAGTGTACAATTAAGTTAATCTTTGCATGAACGGCTTAAAAGTATCTCCATTTTTAACATGGTAGTTTGAAACTTGACTATCTTCAATTAGGAACAAAATGAATGTGGAATACAAAAAGCTGCATTTCAGTCTTTTCATTTGAAACACAATTACACAGTCAAAATTATTGCATGGAACATCAATAAAACATGAAAACAGAATGCAAAATAAAGCAAATCTAGACTAGTAGACTGACTAATCTACAAGGACTAGTTAATTAAAAGGACTAGTAGTCTTTTTAATAGTGTTTCTCTTGAAATAAAAAAGGGGGAAGGAGGCGCTTCATAAGAAATGTAAATCGACACAAACCCATTATCAATGGACAAAGAAATACAAAAAAGGCCAAAACAGGACAATAGGGAGATGTTTATACTTTACAGATAATTTCTGCTCGACTTGTGCAAACTTTGAGACTATTTCAGTCCAATTGTTCTTGATCCACTATGTGACAGTAATTATTTTGAAACATCTGAGTACAGAGGCCCTTTGTTTCCTCATCTTTCATGGAGGTGTTTGGCTCTACATTGCATCAATCTGCTCTGACGATCATTTACAGGATAAGGAAACACAAAACAGGGAGCAGTCGCAGTGAAATAACACCACAAAATCTGAAAAACCAGGCATGCAATGAAGGAAAGTCAAAGGGCCGATTGGATGCAATAATTGGTGGAACCATTTAATTTCTTGTGCAATGGATACACAAGAATGTGTGAATTGTGAAGGAAGGAAAACACAGACTGGGCACCTGTTGGAAATAGTTACAACTTTAAACCTAGAACATGTTCAGAATTTTAAATAATCCCCCTGTAACATTTATACAGTACGATACATTCAGTCAACTAGAGAACAAACCAGCTGTTGATTGTTTAGGGCTAAGGTGAGTGGACTAGTAGTCTTTTTAAAAGTGCCTCTCTTGAAAAAAGTACATAAACTTCTTATGACGTGTTTTAACATCAAGCTTAACATTTGAACACATACTAGAAAATATTGAGCAGCTTTGACACGTTGGCAGCTAGTAAAACTGTAATCATTTTAGCAGCACATACTGCTCAGGCATCTTTCATCAAAGGATTTTTGAGGTATTTTTTTTTTTCAGGTAATAAATACAGTGCAACAGAAACAGCCCGAGAGCACCTACGGTCACTCATAATTTGCTTCTGTCCAGCCTTTTTTTCATAGGGTTGGGGTACTGAGGATTCTCAATCACACCTTCTCCGAACTTGAGCTCCAGGAAGGCCCTTTGGTTGTTGGGGCCGTAGGCTGTGATGCCAGCGAAGGGCATGGGCACCAGCGGCTGCAGGAAGTGCTCTGGAAACTCCACGTCCTGTTTGTGCTCGGTCCATGTGTCTTTCGTCATGATGCCGCTGCGCGAGTAGAAAGGCCACAGATCCACGTGCAGGTGGTTGGCCTCGCTGTACTGCACTCTATAAAAGTCTCCCTCCACTGCCCGCTCCCACACGTAGCCATTAGCATCCACTAGAGAGCCCGAGTCCAGGTTCTTCAGGTAGTCGCAGTTGGGCACGTCCTCAAGGTAGATACCCAGGTCCACATCGTAGTCCCAGGGTATGATGTCTTGATGGCGGACGGCACCAAGAAGAGAGCCTCCCTCCAGCCAGTAACGCACACCGGAGCTCTCCAGGATATTAATTACGTATTTGGTGGTTTCTCTCAGTGCTCTCAGACAGCAGGGAGGCGTCCAGCGATCCAGATATAGGTAGTCCGGTGTGTCATCCTGCACGGTGCCAAAGCATCGGGGAGTCTCTTTAGTGCAACCATACCACTGTTCCTTTCCCTCAGGGAGAAGAAGGCGCTTCAGACCGAAGCTCCTCATGAGTTTCCCAGTTGCCTCCTTCAGTCGAGTGTCAGCCTTCCACTGATTGTGAGCAGAGCTGAAAAGTGGTCGGTGGTTTGCCGAGAAACAAGGGCTCTCCAGGAGTTTCACCTTCCAGCCCCTTAAGGTGGTCTGAACGAAAAGGGCAGGAAAGAGAGGGCGCCCTAGCGGTACGGATAAGTTGAAAAGGTCCTCAGTCCGAATCAAGACAACAGCGTCGCCTTGTAAAGCCGTACACACACTCCCACTGCTTCCTGAAGCGGCCGGTGAGTAGGTGGCAGTCCACTCTTTGAGGTTGACCCGCAGGTGGAGGCACTGCACCGCGGATCGAGTTAAAACGGGCACCGCTACCAGCCTCACGGGCCCCCCGCCTTCACCTTCCAACTCTTTAATGAGTCTCTCAAAAACTCTTGGCTGTTCCAGCTCCACGCCGTCAGGTACCAACAGGACAAACTCTGTCTGCAAGTGAAACTCTGGCCTGTGAGCTTGTGGTGGCTGGTCGGGGCTAGGAGAGAGCACCAAAAGACGGGCGCCCTCTGGAAGTACAAGGGGAGGATACGGAAATGTGTCGGCCACAGCCAGAAAGGGAAGCTCTGGACGTTGACGAAGGAAAGAGTTAGCAACATCCCCAACGTAATTCTCAAAGTTTTCAAACTCCCGAAGGAGAACAGATACACGTGGGCTTCGGCCATGGCCCTCCGCTGCCATTCCTGCATGCTCACCTCCAATGACCCCTAACGCTCCCCCCAGAAGGGAAGCCGGCCGGGCAGCTCTCCTCGAGCCTCTACCAAGCTCCTTCCTTTTCTCCATCATCTGCTGTTGGGCCCGGGATACATAATAAAGTATGAGGAGGTTGAGGATGATGGCACCCGTTAACAGACCCTGGCACAAACTGATACGCATGGCAAATAATACTTTTTAGAGTTTCTTGGAGGAAGAATTCAAGTTTCACTGAAGGCATCCAGTGGTGGATTTTGGCTCTCCATGTGTTCAGCAGCTGGAGACAAACTGAAAGCATAGAAAGACAAAGAAATGTTATAAAACTCTGTGTGTGTAGGCAAAAAATGCATTAAATGTATCTTGGACATTTTTTATGATTTTAAACTGAAACTAACATAACCCTAATCCTACAGTAAATTTAAAAGATGAAATAGTGCCTTTAACTTCTTTAATTCCATAAATTAAGTGCTCCAAGTGACCTTTTTGATTCTTCACAATGGATCTTAGCTAAAAATTATAATGAACCAACTGATATTTTTAAATATAATTAAGATACAAATGCAGAATTAAAAATCCACAATAGAAAAAAGTATCAACAATATTTTTTTAAAACTTAAATCTATTTTTCTTCACATTCGGTTGAAAACAACAACTTTCTTTTACATTGGTCCCACAAAAAAACTGAGAAAACACATGCATCATCTTTTTGCTGAAGTTTTATGTTTTGTTTCCTGAATTGTAAAAAATAAAATAGGCATAAAATGTTTTTTTTTAATGCTACAAGCTCTTCCTTGGTAACACAGATAATTGACTAAATAATAAACGCACAACAAGAACAAGTTATCAAAAAAATATTCCAGCAATACTCACCTTTCTTTGAATACATATCATACTGCAAGACATTCTTTGGAGCAATCCAGGGAAACCCCAGCATGCATTCGTAATTCGAAACTCGAGTATTTACATTATTTTTTACCATAATATTAACATCACTGTGGTGTATTCTTTTTTCAGTCAGCTTTCGGTGAGCATTAGCTAAACTGCCTCAACGGGAAGCGGCGAACAAAAGCACAAGTCAGTATTATTTACAACGTTGGAGGAAGCTGGGTTCTCGTTACTGAAAGTAGAGACCTGCAATACTGTCCAGGCATTCGTGTAATTAATGCTTTATTATATGACTCCATGCAAGGAACCTCACCAAAACGGCTTTAGCATTATGCTAGGACACCTTTTGCCTTTGTTGCGCGAAGCAACCAAAGCGCTTCCTGTCTTTGTCCTTCAGAATAAAAGTATCATATAATTACATTTTCTATCATTTTGTTGGGCTATTTTTTTTATTTATTTAGTTTTTACATAAAAAAAACACACACCAAATTTTCCATTAGGATGTACTTTTTTGAGGGTATTTTTATTTGAGATAAGTACTTTCTTAGCTTTCGAATTCAGTTCATTGTGCATTTGTTGCTCACAAACGTACATTGACTCTATATATATATATATATATTTGATAAATTGGTATAAAAGCCATTTTTAAGGAGATCATCATCTTGCAGTCTTGATTCAGACAACTCTGGTTGGTACCCAAATTATTATTATTATTTTTTGACTGCTTAGTAAAGTTTTTTTTTTCCTAATGTTGAGTGGAATGATGGTGATAATACAGGCTGTACTGTAAGTGCATCCGCGGTGGCTTTAATTTGTGGAATTGGACACATCACAAGTCTGTGTGCCTTAATCAAACAATGTTCTACAACAAAACAGCAAAAACAAAAACTGACAATGGAAAACTTCATCTTAAGTGGATGGAAACAAGATAATTAGCTTTGATAACTTTATAAAGAAATGCTGATGAAATAGTGTATTATAAAGGCAATTTGGATTCTCTGTATGCCACTCAATGCGCTGTAAGCTCACTAAGAACTAATTTTATACATGACATTTTATATATGGGGTTGTAATCTGAGATATTTTATACTTGCGTATAAAAGAATATGAGCCAAAACAAATGGTAGTGGGTTACAAGACAAAGATAACAGAATATACCATGCGATTTTTAAAAAAATTACAAATTGTGAAAGTACTGGACTAAAATAAAAAAAAAAAATAAAAAATGGATGGATGGATGGATTGCAAATACAAAATGGTTTATTTGTGGGTCTGATGTAGGAAGAGTTGAAATTGCAGTGTGTACGCAAAAAGACACACATTTAATCAGAACCGCTTTGAGAAGCAACCAAATAATGTTCCATAATATAAATACTAGTATGGAAGGCTGCAGTCCAGGCTTTATTTTGGAAGTGCCTATACTGTGACCTTCACTTGCTGGTCAAGTGGTTCTTGTCATGAAGAAGCTTAAGAACTACTGGTTCAACCGAGTGTGTTTGAAACTGTAAACAAAGCAAACATTTGAAGAAAACCGAGATTTATATGTGAGATGGGGAAACCGGAAGTAGAATTTTGGGTGGTTCTGTGGGGCTTTGCTGTGTCAAAACGCTTTCTGATCACAAAATGGCAGGAAATGAACTCCCACTGGCGAGATCCTCATTGTATATCAGAGAAAAGAGTCCCGTTATTTGTCACCCAATTTCAGACCCCTACCGACGGCAAGCGCGGGGAAGAGCTTACACAAAATAAAGGTTGCAAGCAAATGGACGACGTTTGTTTTGGAAATATTGCATAAAATAGTTATGTTCTGGTGTATATTTGTTTAAATGTTTATGGAAAAATGCGTACAAATGTATCTGTTAAACGTGCCCCATAAAGAAATAAGCCGTTCTGAATACTGTCGGGGTTTTATTCTGAAAGTTTGAAAGCGGAAGTGTAGTATTTTACCAACTGAATAGTAATTCGACTCTGTCGTTTGAGAAAGGGAAGAATAGAGGGCAGCTTGTAGAGAACAGCTGGGTTCGGTGAAGGGTTCGGGGTGGTGTTTTTGAAATTATTTTGTTTATACAGCCTGCTTGTTTCTAAATAAGTATCCTGGCGAAAGGGTGAACGGTGAAATGGAGGCGGACAGATCCGGCGGAGGACTAAACCCAAACTCCGGAGGCGGCGGCGGCGGCGGCGGAGGCAGTGGTACTAGCGGAGCGGGGCGCAACCCTAACGGGCCCAAAGCAGGACCGGGCCAGACGACGTCGGGTGCCGGAGTCGGGCCAATGGCAGCGGCAGCCGGGGCCATCTCCGGGTCGTTCCTGCCTCGAGAGGCGCAGGACGGGGACTCGGGCATGACGCTTCCCGGGATCCTGCACTTCATCCAGTACGAGTGGGGACGCTTCCAGGCCGAGAAATACCGCTGGGAGGCTGAGAGGGACGAACTCAGGGTAATTGTATTTATTTACATAAAGCATGTGTTGGATGGTTTTTACACCAAAACAGGCTCAGGACGAAAAAAACAAAAAAAAAAAAAACCTAAACAAGCGAAACAAACAAACAAGGAAACACCACAGAGTCTCTTGCTCTGCTTTGTAGTGTTCCCTAAAATCAGTGTCAGGGAGACGGCATGCTAATGGGCTAACGTATCGCACCGACAGGGATGCATTATTACTGTACAATAAAAGGAAGTGCACCACTTAATGTTCGCAACAAGGAAAGCAGCTGCCACTCTTCTCCACGAGCGAAACAGACAAGGTTTTCATCTCGCATTAATTCATGCTGGTTAAAATGTATGCTGGCAAACAAAAACAAGCCGCAGAATCGAGGTAAATAGTTCACGTCTGATTGTCTTCTTTTGCTACTTGGATATATGTCTTTTTCAAAGACACGTCCTGCCCTCAGCTCTTTATATAGACTGTATTTTGACATTCGTGCGAAACTGAACCAAGAGGCCATAATATGATTTTTAAGCACATTCTCATGTGGTTTCTCTGTTGTGGTTTAGGAGTCAGTGACATGCAGCTTTGAGGTAAAAAGAAGAAAAAAAAATCACTGCATTATTGAGCAATTCGTATTTGACTAAAGAGATCATGGCCTTACCCGTTTGAAAACTTAGTGAAAAGGCAGAATAGTTTTGTGGTTGAAATGTTGTGTTTTGAAGGTGAATGTAAATATTGTGAGATTCTCACTGAATTAAATAATGACCTTGATTTAAAAAAAAAACAACCAAAAGATCAGGTTATCTGAACTCTTAAAAACAAGGATAATATGATCAGATTTGTTTTTGTATTTGAAACAGAAAAAAACAGCCCTTATCTCTAATGCTGCTGAGTATACAATATTGTAACATGTTGATTATTACAGAAGTATTAATTGTTGGAATTCAAATGCATAGACTTAGGAAAATATGTTCAAACAGTACATATTTTATGTTTTTGTTCTGCTGTTCTTTATATAGTAACACAGCTAAAATTAGCTGCTTAATTAGTCAGGCTATCTGCTTGGGAAGCCAGTCTGCAGTTAGCAGCTTAACAAACATGCTGCTTGTCATTTAAGTGAGAGCAAAACAGCGGGAGTCTTCATTCACTGACATATCGCACGTTAAGCTGTAGGATACCAGTTACCCCTTCCCATCCACACCATTACAGTCTGTGATATTTATTTATTTATTTATTTTGTGACTGGACATATTTCCAGAGAGCTAAATGGTTTAAGTGTGATTGCGCTTCTTACTGAGCACCAGAACATCAACAACAAATTGGGGTCTCCATCAAACCCGCAAAACCCTGGTCACTGACACTCTGACATTTCAGTCGAAGGATTTGGAGTTGTGGGAACAAAGTGTGTAAAACAATTTCTCTCCCATTCTTAGATATCAGTTAATTAGGAAGTAACTGGTTATTTGAATAATAGCTTTTTGATGAATCGTGAATTATGATAGTTCAAGCTTTTTTTTCTTGGTAAAATGATTGATCAGGACGATGTTTTTGGAACAAAAGCATCTCCTTTCCACAGATGTTATTCTCTGATTTATAACAGTCCCGATCTACAGTAAAATGTGTATCTGTGTGTGCGGTGGTGGCGCTCAAAGCAAAGCCTGCCCTTTGAACTGGCGCACAAATAAATGACTCACTGGTGCGGGGGAAAGAAAAAGTTTTGTCGATATGCAATGATCTGCAGCTTACTAACGCGAGCGCAGGGCCTGCCGTTAGGTTGGACGTGTAGGCCTACAACTTTAAAGGTCATTGACCTGCATGTGTAAAAGTGGCTTGGACAAACTATGTGAACATGTGAGTCAGTGGCAGAAAAATCCCCGGGAGCAAACCATGAGTCCCACGGTGGTCCCAGTTGTTCAGATGCCAAGTTGCACAAGATAAATGTTTCTCTCCTGCATAGATGTAGGATTTTGCTTTAGTCTAAAACTGCTCTTGTGTGTAGTTGGAACAGCAACTGCTCTGGTTTATTTACGGCCTTTTCTTATACTTACATTGAGACATGCCTTCTGTCTTCTTTGAAGTGTTTCTGCTCATAGCAAAATGTGAGAAAATAATCCTGACAGTTTCTTTTACTGTGGGACTCCTCCACTCTGTTTGCCCCCTGACTCAAACCTATGTAGTTTATAAATAGGAGTCTGATAAAATATGGATGAACAATAACAAACTGGCTGCGCTCACTTCTTTTATGGGCACACGGAAGAGAAACTGAGAAGAGAAATTAGAAATGGGTCACCCGCCATGTCCAACAGGCCATTATAGCTGGGTTTGCATGTAGGTATTTGCAGCACATGATCTGGCTTCACAGGTACAATTAGCACAGTGTCCTGAGCTGGAGGAATGAAGGGGAACACTGCAGTGTGGTGCTGGAAAAAAATGACCTAGCTTACATTTTAACACCCACAGGCCTCTGGCCTTTGTTGCCAGCATGCTTGAAGAGCTCTCAACATGCCAGTTAGTTTGCCCGCTGGGTACATCCTGCACAATTAACAACATGCAGTACGCGTGTGAAGTATATTTAGCTTCGATGATGTCTACACAAGACTGCGTGTGCATTTAATTTCAAGCTTTTATAATCGAATCACAAACATTTTCATAAAACAACAACAACAAAAAAAACAGAGTTGACACTTTGTGTGTATGGTGGGAGTTGCATCTTTGTAGCCTGGCGTGTCTCTGCAAGACCACCACACGTGTTCCCTCTGTGAGCGTGTTGTTCGTCTAAGAAGCCACCTGTGGTGTCCTGTCTGCTCTGACAGGCCGACAATTGATGTCTTCCCCGCCTCTCTGAATGAGGTGGGACGTTTCGGGTCAAACGCAGGACAGCAGCAGAAGGGTGGTTGTTT